GGGGGGGGTGGGTGGGTGGTGGGGGCCGCCATGGCGTGGCCCTGCATCACCCGCGCCTGCTGCATCGCCCGTTTCTGGAACCAGCTGGATAAAGCGGACATCGCCGTCCCGCTGGTTTTCACCAAATACTCGGAGGCCACCGAGCATCCCGCCGCCCCCGCGCCCCTCCCGCGCCCCGCCGCTCCCATCGACACCCAGCCCGGTGGGGAGGCGGCGGGGGAAGCGGTTCCCGGTCCTCCCCGGCCCGGCCCGGCCCCGCACGTCTCTCCGCCGGCCGATTCCGTGATGCGCCACGATTACAAACCCTGGAAGGTCCAGCGGCCGGAGCCCAGCTGCAAGCCCAAGAGCGAGTACCAGCCCTCGGATACGCCCTTCGAGAAGGAGACCCAGTACCAGAAGGATTTCCGAGCTTGGCCCATCCCCAAGCGGGGCGACCACCCCTGGATCCCCAAACCGGGACCTTCCCCCGTCCTCGCCTTGGAGCGCGCTTCCCCGGAGAAACCGGCTCAAGAGAAGCGCCGGAAGGTTCTCCTCGGCTCCGAGAAGAAAGAGGAAGACCCCGACGGGGAGGATGAACAGCCCAAAGCGCTGCGGGCCGGGGAGGGGAGAGAGAAGGGCCGCAAGAAGGCGGAGGAGCCGGGGGGAGGCAGGGCGGCCGCCGATGCTCTCAACAGGCAGATCAAGGAGGAGGTGGCGGCGGGGGTCAGCTCGTCCTACAGGTGAGAGACCCCCCCCCGAAACCCCGACCCCCCCCCCCAGCAACCCGCGGGCTCCTCGCCAGCCCTTCTCCGGTCCCCTCTTGCCCATCCCCGGGAGGGACATCCCGCCCTGGGAGTCGGGGGAATGAGGCTTTGAGATAGTTCGGGGGGGTCCTTGGAATCCCCCACCTCGCTGGGTGGCGTTGGTGGGGCGTGGGGAGGTGCTGTGCAGGTAATGAGGACGGGGGTCCTTTCTATCGGGGGGGGGGGTTGCAGGAGGTTCGAGTGTGTTGCCCACCCCGCCCCGCATCCCAAAATTCCGAGACGCCCACCCACCACCTTGGTTTTCGGCAGGGAGCGAGGTTTGGGTCGCTACCCCGGGACGGGCGAGTCAACGCTGGTCCTTTCCCAGCGCATCCCTGCTTGCCGTGACGCGGCCAACCCAAAGGACCGGCATCCCGACCGCATCGCTGCATCCCCAGCATCCCAGGCGCCGGTGGGGGCCCCCACCCGCCAGCGGGGTGCCCCACGCGCGACAGAGTCCCACGCAGCACCCCAGGCCGGTAGCATCCCCCAGACAAAGCATCCCGGGGAGGTGGCGGGATGCGGGTGACACACGTCCTAGGCCGCTTGGGTGGGGCAGCCTTCGGATGCTGCCATGTTTAACGCAGCGTGGGTGGGGGTGGCACATCCCTCTGTGCCCCCCCCCCATCATCCCCCCACCCCGGGCTAGAAGGGGGTGCCCTTATTTCACCCCAAGAAGAGACCCCCTTGGGGATTCGGAGCGCGAAAACTCCTTGCCGCGAGCTGCTGTTGTTATTTCTCTCCGGGTGAAGGGGTTGGATGCGTCGGGAATGCACAAACAAAAGTGATGGGGTGGCTGCCCTGCACGTACATTTGCAAGGAGGATTTGCTGCGATTGTGTTTTCCAGAGCTTTCTTTGGCAGAGCCCACCGCTGCCGAGGCCGGGGTGGAGGTGGCGGAGAGCAAAGCTGGGGTTTGTTGTGGCAAAAGTGTAATCTCAGCCTTTTTGCTTCTCCCCGTACCCACGTGAATGCCGAGGTGTTTATGCCTTTGAATGATTGATTTTCTTCCCCAGGGAGATTTAGAGGTGACACCCTGCTGTCAAACAGGTAGTAAATTTATGCAGATTTAAAATGAAGCTGGGATTTGACTCCTCTGTCCCACCGGTGATGGTGTGACACGGCAGAGCTGGAGGTCATCCCCTTTCCCATGTCCCCGGGTGGGAAACGGTTCAAGCATTGAAATTGTGATTTTTGCTGTAGTTCGGCGGCAGCTTTGGCTCTTGCTGGGGATGTGAGTGATGCTGTGGGCTCAGGTGCATCCAGGTGTGACGGTGGTGGTCAGCTGAGACGTGAGAAAATGGCCAGGGATTTTCAGGGTCTCTGTTTTGCGAGGATGGAGGGTGTGGGGAAAGGGTTTTCCAGAAGTGACACGGTCCTTTAATCTGTTTTGGCCAGCCGTGATTTTTGATTCAGCTTTTTGTCTGGTCATCTTCCAAGGTCTGGGCTTATCTCAGTGAGCGCAGGACTAAAGCAGAAAGCTGTCCTAGAGCTGAAGAGCTGGTGTGTTGCTCTCTTCCGCTGGCGCAAAGGATAATTAGACTTATTTACTTGCATATTTAAATGCAGATCGCTCACCCTACCGTCCCTCCACGTACCATCCCTCCTGTCTGCTCCAGCAAATTCATACGGCCGCTGTTGCAGCAGGATGGGCTGGGCTGGCTTTCCTCCCCGAGCAAAGGGGTTGGGTCAGCTCAGATGTTGAACCCAAGAGGAATTGGAAGGCTCCAGCCCTCCTTGTGTTGCTCCTCAACTTTCAGGACAGCCTTAGGGCCTCTCTTTGCCCTTGGGTCCTTATCTGCTCTTCCACTCCCATGTTTTTCTTCCTTGCAGCGTATTGCAAGAGAAGCGTTTGCTCTGATGCTCAACCCTGGAACATAAGCGCCTCTTCATTAATGCATAAGTGATGTTGTGGCTAATTGTTCTCATTTTCCGTTCAAATTAGGCATCTTGTAAGTGTTGTTTATTGTTTGGGTTCTTTTTAAAAGCCAGATTCTCCAAATCCCTATTACTATCAAGAACCTTGCTGCTCACAGGAGTCCCTACTGAGTGGGTTTTGAACAAGGATGGAGACTCCGCAGCCTATTTGGGCAACCTTTTGGGCCACCCAGCAGCCAAAATTATCTCCTAGTGACCTTTTGTTACAGAGGAGCGAGGATGGCTCGCGTGGGGCTTGTCCTCCGTGGCCTCTGCTGGGCTTGTGCATGGATGAAGGCTCCCCAGCAGCAGGGAGCAGGGGGAGATTTCCTTACAGTCCTCTGCCACCGCTGCAAATCAGCGTAATGTGATGCTCCAAGGCTGGGAAACAATTCCTTGATGAAACCAAAGAGCACACTGGTAATGGTTTTTAAACTCGCTCTGTCCCCCTGAGTATTATTTCCAGGTGAGGCAGCAGATGGGATAGAGTAAGCAACTAGCCCAAGGTCATCGGGAAGTCCATGCTAAAGGGAGGAATTCCCTTTTCTAACCTCTTTATACCAAGACAAATTAATATTGCAGAGACTATGTGCCTGTGACCTCCTCCCAGGTCTGCCCGGACCTACAGAGCAGAGACGATGCCTGGCGGTGATGGCCACGGAGGATGGAGGCTACTCCCAGCCCGAGGGATGGATGATTTGTTTGCATTAGCATTTGAGCCCAGAAGCCTTCAGCGAGGCCAGAGCAGCAATGGGAGAGCTGTGCATGTCTGCAAGAGACTGCCTGTGCCCAGAGATCCTACAGAATAACTAGGATTTATTTATATTATTTATATTATTCATCTTTATATTATTCATCTTTATATTATTCATCTTTATTTATATCCATTTATTAAATACTTGTTTATCTATAGGATTTATTTATGTACTTATGCCCAAATAAATCCCCTTGGCAAACCAAGGGGAACAATGGGGGGACATGCTCATTCCTAGTGGTCTCCAAAAGTTAAGGGACTCCCAGGGCAACGTCTAGTTTGAAGCCATCGGTGACAAGAAGGTTTGAAGGTGATCAAGCCGTGCACGATGGCATCTGCTTGCCAGTTAGCACCCTGTGACTATTCCTCTTTGGCTGTGAGGAAACTGAGGCAGGGGTGCCGAGTGACCTACCTGAGCCCCTACACAGCACATCAGGGCTGGGGCTGGGCTCAAGGTGCAGCTCCGAGGCATCGTTCTCCTGATTGCTGTTGTTCTTCTGGGGTCCAAGTGCTGGCAGCCACTGCTGTGACACAGGTTCCAGCACCGAGGTGCTTTGTGCCTCAGTTTCCCTCCACAAAGCTGCCCAAGCAGCACTACAGGGGCTTTAACGCCCTCATCCCTGCAGTCCTTCTTCTTGTGGTGGCCTCTGGACCCGGAGGGACCAAGTAAGGACCAGGGGGCATCCTTCAGTGAGTAGGAATACTCGGTTTATGGGGCTGATGTGACTTCTGGATAGGAGTCAGGACCCAGCCTGGGGGCTTCTCGGCTCCATGGAAAGCTGTTGCTGCTGGATGGAGCCTTTTCTTGCTCAATGATCTGCTGTCCCATAGGAGGATCTGGTGGCATCATTGAGGGTTTTATCTGTCTTGGACCCAGAGGTGGCCCCGGTGACCCCAGTACTCGAGTGCTTGGGAGGGGATTTTGCCCCCTGAACTCCTGGAAGGGATGGGCAGAGCTCTTCTCCCTGCGGTACCGAAGGATGGAGGGGACAGGGGTTGACCCTGGGGGTGTGGGAACAGAGAGAATAAGTGATAAAACGTGCGGACAGTGCTGTTTGCTGGTGGAAGTGGAACAATTGGAAGCACGTTTGGCGAAAACACAAGAAGGAATTAATGTTTTCCATTTTTGTTTGAAAATGATGGAAAAATGTTAGAATTGGCTGTTTCCTGCGTGTTTGTTTTCCTTCTTCTTCTTCTTTGTCTTGCATTCTTCTCCTTTTCTTACCTTTATTTCCTGAAGAAAAAAGAAATAAAGGGGAAAGGGGAAATTTCACCCCCTTTGCAGAGTGTCAGAATGAGCAGTAAGGTGATGAATTTTCTCCAGAGAAGTAATATTGCGAAACCTAGGTTTCAAGTTCTTCACCAAAGAGCAATCTGGTTTTTTACCAAAGCGATTATTTTTTTCCCCACCAATTTCCTTTCCTATCAGAGGAAACAAACAAAGAAAGGCTTCAATGGAAAATTTTGGACTGCCTCTAGTATTAATGAATTGCCTGTTGCTAATGTTCTGTCATTCATCTCAAGCCCTGGAGGTGCTAAAGATGTGGAGCAAATGAAAATCTGTAGTAGCTATAGAGATGAATGAGTCAGTGCTGGAGACTTGCTGTGTATTTTTCTGAGATACAGAGGAGATAATTTAGGGAGGGGTGTCCACACAGGAGGGCTGGAGCAAGCTACACGAGGGCAGGGAATTCATATTCCATCATTATAGTTGTCGAAATGTGGGGCTGGAAGGACCTCCCAATATCATCCGGTCCACATCCCATTTCTGGGGAAGGGGGGGGATATATCTAGACCACAGCAGGTTGATTTTAACTAACCTGTCCTTGAAAATCTCCAGTGGAGGACACGTCCCACCTCGGTGAGACACTCTCTAACACCGCTCGTGCTGTCAGATGTGCCAAACTTGGTGGGAAATTTTCCATTGCCTTCTGAAATTTCTCATCAGATCCATAGGCTGGGTCTGTATTAGTAAATTAAACAGTTCCAGGACACGTTCCGGGGCTTGGGGACATGATCATCTACACTCTTCAGTTGTTGAAAGAGTCCCCAGCCCACTTCCCAGGCTGGGTTCGGCCATGGGTATGAGCCAAGAACGGATCCCAACAAGCAGCTTGGGTGTAAACACCTTGTTTTTGGGGGTTAAAGGGGTTTAAGAGAGTGAGTGTGGGCTGTCCCAGGCTCCAGCGCCAGAGAACAATCCTGGGCAGATTTTGTCTCCCACTGTTGTTTTGGCTACAAACTCCCACTTTGGATGAGTGTGTTAT